TTAACTTCAAGAGGCAATTTCTATTTAGCTAACGTTAGGTTTTGGGGGAGGGAGGAACACTGGAGAACTCGCAGACAAATCCTCAAAGGAAGGGAAAATGCTTAGTAACCATGGAGATCTACTCCAGGTAGTGKTTTTGCCCTCTTTTTACATATTACTAATAAGAAATGACTTACCTTTCAGGAAGCTTCCCAAAACAATATGGAATAACACAAAGGGAGCATTGCTTAACGGAGCATTTCATCTGGTTATATGGCATTTTATTCCTACGTTTATCTGCAACATTGTATTTTACTGGATGTTGTTTGTTGGCCCACTCTATGCATGGACCTCTTTAAAGGACAGTTTTACTTCACAGCAGCTTCTATTTCAAGGTCCTAATGAGAATGTTCCTTTGAATATTGTCAGGTTATTMTTTTCTTGGGTGTGGAGGAAGATTATTACGATATTTGGTTCCAGACTCATGCGTCAATAGAGGGATAGAGTCTTTACCTTGGATGTAATGCTTTGCCATTTTCAGTCCATGTGTTATTCCCAAGATTATTATTTCTTTCTTTAACTGTTTTACATTGAGAAATCACATGATTATGGAAACAACTCAAACGAARAATCTCATTTTCAAGAGACTGACATGTGGTCTGAAATTGGTAAATATTGTGCCCAAGATAAAGAGATCTATTGATAAATCAGTCCATGAAAACTGCAAACACTGCTAAATTTGACAGGTCTTGCCATACTATACCACRCTAGAGTGATAACTGAATCAGTTGGTGCTATTGCCATGCAACGAACCTTATAATATTACAATACATTCTTTTAAAATATATTATAATATATGAATTATGATACTTAGCGGTCTTCCATTCTCCCACCCCTGTATACAAGTGAATTAGATTTAGCACAATGCGTAGTTCCAGAACATATCAATATCCCACCCACTGAGGAAATTGGAAATTCTGGAGGGGAGGGGGTCAGAAAAAGAGCAAAATTACAAAGTTTGTATGGAATAATTTGAAGTTCCTGGGGGTAGGGCGGTCTGCTTATAAATTCCCTCCGTGGTAGGTGTACAATATTTTCTGGAACTACACAATTACTGTCTGTCTGAATCACTTGTTGCTTCAAAGCTGCTCTGGRATAGAACTTTGTTGTATCAAGTTTGCCTTATTATTGGAGTTGCGTCAGAGTGGCATCTGTGTAACATGATTAGAAGTAGTACAACAATAGACCACAATTGTATCCTATGGTTTCTATTTGACAGTTTTCGAATTAGTCAAATAACTCTGTGTTCTTTGATCATAGACTAATTTATAACAGGGTGAGTCTCATTTCAGTTTCCAAATATTCACAAATACCATCAGTGAAGTGGGAGAGCTGAGGCCCCAGGGGGGGTTACTCCCATATATRGACTATACAGGGATGATCCGCTGAACAGGGTATGGTTTCTCAAGCTTCTTGTCATAAACAGGGTATGCGATTTCACTCAAGGTCCAAGTTCTTCCTGAGTTTCTTGTCATATTCAGGGTTTCTACTTTCGTATTGACTGAAACTGGTTATTATGGTCGTCAAAAAACCATACGCGAGATGACATGATAATAATTGAATAATTGAAACAGGAACTCAGTGCAATAAATTATATCTGTTGTCATAAACAGGGTCTACAAATTTGATTTTTTTTGTCATAAACAGGGTACCCCTTTCAGAATCCCAGCGGAACACCCCTACCCAAATTCTGGCGGAGTACCCCCCCCCCCCAGGGCTGAGGCAAAAAAAGATGTAATAACAAGCACATATATTGTTGTCTTTTGCAGAAGATCATGCAATGTTTGTAATTTTATTTTTTATCATTAACTATTAACAAGAGTATTTTAATTTGAATAAGTTGTGAATCAAAGATTCCCATAATTCTAAACCATTGCTTTGGTAATAGAGTGCTCTTAGTCTCACTGTTGAATAGTTAGATAAATTTATCTAACTTAGATAACTATTTAGTTGACGTCACCTAAAATAGTAAAAGCACACCAAATAACGTCCATGCTAATCCGGGGAGTTGTTTTAACAGAGAATGAGTGAATAGACATTCATTTGTATCATCGATTCTCTCCCTGATCTCAGTAGCTGTTTACTCATAGTTTCAAATTTAGGTGACGTCACCTAAAATAGTAAATAACTTACATAATTTAGTTGACGTGACCTATTCAATAGTGAGACTAAAAGAACTCTAATCAACAACTGCATAAAAAAGGTATGGAGAGTGAAATGAATGCAATCCACTCTCTGTGTACTAAATCGAAATGTGGTGAACAATTTAAATAACTATTATGCACTGGCTGGTCCTGACTAGCCTCTCATACATGTGAAAAGGCTTTTATGTTTCCACATGAGCACAAGGCTAGTCAGTCGCTAGTCAGTGCAGAACAATAGATATTTAAATTGGTTGCCATGTTTTGATTCAATGTTTTCTCGTAGCAACCAATCAATTTCCCTGTCTATTCTGTTTAGAATTATTAATTTATTAATTTTTCTTTTGGCATAAATAGAAGAATAAATTTGTTTTGAAGTATTAGTGTTATTGTAGTGAAGGGAATTAAGGGTGGCACAACGGTTAGTGCACCCACCTCTCACCCCTTAGACTTGGCATCACGTGAGAAGAGTTGTTAGGTCTTGTTTCCTTGATGCAAGGGGTTTTCTCTTACCTGGTTTCCTCGTTCCTTCACTCTGCAAAACCTAAAATGCTGAATTCAAATTTGGTGTGCRAGTTATTAGCCATGCCCTGATATTGATCAGCCCAGAGTTGTTTTATGGTGTCATATCTGAAGGAACGTTGCAATGTATCTTTTTACAATAACTTACAAATTTCTCAACTGCTGATTGGTTATTTTTTATCAGGCGGAAATTAGAAAGTTTACACTCATACTGTGTGCTCTCACAGATAAAGCACATGCTCCCAACCAATCAGAAAGCAATGTTTATAACAGTTATTTCATGGGATTGCTTTTTTTCCTGTTAATCAATCTTCTCAATTATTATGTTTGGGTAACAAAGAAACGATACTCAAGGGAATGACAGTTGGTCTCAAAAAAGACCATTTTTTATTAATAAATATCAAAAAAATACTTTATATTAGGCTTACATTAATAGCAAATTATGCACGCACTCAAACACAACATTACATGCACAATGTTCTGCTCAATATATTATTAAATGTCTATTATTTAAATAAGATGAATCAAAGTTACATTTGCAAAATATATTCATAAAAATTTGTCCCTCCGTCTTCAACCATGTACACCTCTTTCACTCTGATGAATACTAATATTCGAAACTTCAGTATAGTTACAAACGTTTTAAGCTTCCTTAACTTCCCACCCACTTGTAGTAATTGACACACCAAGTCAGTCTCAACTACTGTTGCCGATAGTCATTCATATTCACTTGTTGTATTCAACACACCAAAAGCAGTCCCCACTAGTTATTATCATGACATCTCATCTAAATTTTATCTTGAGGTTGTTCTTAGTCTTTAAAAAAAAAAATGCATTAAATATGCTGCAAATYTCAATTGCAATTTTACAAAGCATTACAATGAATTTCCTGTGCTTGGTTACTGGCATGCATGCCGGCAATATATGCCTCTGCAAATATACTTGAGTAATTGAATTGCATAACTTTTGCAGTCCTTATGCAATTTTAAATGAGTATAGTATTATAAGATCAATTGCATTCTCACATCTTATAGCAACTATCAAATTTTAGCTTGATTGATATCTGTCAATCAAAGTGAATGGGCCATATTCTTGGTTTGCAATCAATCCCAAGAGAGCACAATAACAAAAGGGATGTCTGCCATGTTGGAAGATATAACAAAAGAATTCATTGAAAAATCGTTTGTCAAATTCTTCCAACATGGCGACTATGACGTCTATTGCAAACGAAGAATTAACTAAACAAGGATGTGATTATATACTTATTTTGATTCGAATCACATCATTGATAGAAATCTTTGAATCCCGCTCATCACCACAAACCCTGAAAACAATTTCAGTATCATAAGGAATCTTGACGACCGCTGTATAAGAATTCCATATCCATCCCGCACCATTTCTCTCAAGAAGAGAAACAGTCACTTTTGGTGTGTATCCTATCGCTGCCCATGCCATACTTAGAGTATAGTTCCTCTGATGGGATATTTCTAGTGCTTCTGTTTTACTACGATCAAGGGATACTCCAGGACATTCTTTGAAATCTCCGTACAACCGYTTCCCCCCATTCAGTTCAATAATATCCCATGTCCCGACAGATGACAGGACAGATTTTAGACTGCTCAACACAGAGAAAGAAAGGTTTCCAGATATCAAGGATGGGGTTATTGCCTCGTGGAGGGATTCTATATATCCTTTTTTGAAGCTTTTGTTGAATTCCTCGGTTTTGTCAGGGGTGATGACAGTCGGGTCTTCGCGAATTTTTGAATCCAACTCGCAGTTTTTATTGACAAAAATCACGAAGTATTTAAGTTGTTTTTCGTGGATGAATACCCCCTTTCTTGAAAAGTGATCTTTAAGTAACATTGCCTTTTGTTTCACGGCGATAGATCCATTTTCTTGCTCAACAAAGCTAGTAATGTATGAGTTATCGGACATTTTTCTTTTCTTTGTTTGAATCCAAGAATTGCCGTCTTCACTTATCTTCACATTTCCACCCCAGTTTTTAACTTCAATACAAAATATTCCCGAATTAACAAGTAAAACGACATCAATTTCTCTCCTTCTTCTCTGATATTCGTCAGGAACCCGAAGACCGCAGAAAATAGACGAAGCATCCATTCCGCTTTGAAGTCTCAGGTTCGCCACAAAAGAGGTCTCTGCGTTTCTTCCAGCTTTAATGTGCTCTAATTCTTGATGTTCTCTTGGACAGGCAGCTTGTTTAGCCTGTTCTAGCCTTTTCGTAATAGAAAACATATTTATCATTCGTTTTGCTCCTAAAACGCGGCAATCGGGCCGTCTTTTTTAAAGTTCCAGCATGTTTTTCATGAGATATTGTTTTGTCTTGTTATTGTTGTGCTTCGTTTGTAAACACTGTGACGTAATGTTATTATGTCGCAATGCATCATGGTTTAGGACACCACAGGTAACCCAATACGTCTTGGACTTTCAGAGCTCTTACAAAAATACAGTTGTCATTTCTTCGTCAGGTAAGGATTTTTCCCAAAACTCTTAATTGTTTCAGGTAAAACGTCACAACCCTGAAGTCAGCTGTTTCTTGAACAGGGATTAGGATACCTGTTATATTATGAATGCATTAATGCACTCTTATACTGTACTTCCTGTCTGCTTCGTGGGTTCAAGTCAAATCGAAGGCAGCTTCGTTTCTCTCTCTAATTATTCTGTTCGCTGTTCAAGTTTCGCAGGTCAATTTGTATCAGTGAATGCATCAATACATCAGGTATTCATTCTCATTGAAGGCCTGATACTCAGGCTAGGTATTCATATATATTTGGAATTTCATACCTGGCCGGGCATAGGAATTATAGGCGTTGTTTTGGGGGCGGTAACGTTTTATATTTATATTTAGCTTCCCAACCCATAATATCTATGATACCTGTCAATTATCTGTCACAGTGTTGATTTTCATCCAATCATAAGCCACATAGCTATCACAT